TCGATACACGTTCCTCAATCTCCTAGAGTCGCAGAAATGGATGAAGTCAAGATTACATCATGTGACATTTAAAAACAAAGGAGTATGACATTGATTCAAGCAGGTTTGAAAAGAGGTGAACAAAAATTCTCACAGGATAAAGTTTATCGAATCGCAATGTGCATTCCTCTTTACCCAGCAAGAGACAAATTACACGCGCTGCCAGCTTGCAGCAACGCCCAAATCCTTCGCTCTCACTAGTAATGACGTTCCAAACTTCCTAAAACTTGCTCGACTTCTAAGTACAGTAATACAGAAAATTCATGTTTTGAAAAATGAAGGAAAATGTATATATAAACAGGTTTACCAAGATCATCTTACCGAAACAGCTTTTTGACACCAATCTTGCTCTTTTGCCTTTAAACTAGACTGAAGAGCAACGTGAAGGAGTACTTGTAAACCCGTCTCTACTGAAACATTATTTTGTCCCTAGAAAAATATGAATGCAAAAAAGGTGCTAACCCGTTTTTGCGTCATCTGAAACAACCAGTTTCAAGATGCTATCGATTGCATCACCTCTAGAAAAAACATGGGGAAACGCTTCGCTCCAGATCTGTAAGAAATGGCTGACTAAAGTATGTTTATAATATTTATGATTTTATTGCACTACATGATGATGGGACAATTAATAATAAAACCAGTGATCTCGAAAGGACTAGAAAAAAAACTACATCAGCACGACAATCTATGTGATTTCCCATTTCCAATGCTTGCGTGTTCAGGTAGCATCCCGTTACAGTCGCTTGTCCTGTTGTGCGGATTAGATTATTTCTACTGCGTATCAAATATCCTTAACATTGATGTCGACACAATTTGCCCCTGTATTTTGATATTCTTATGTTTTTGCAACAACAAAGAAAAAGTAAACAATTACTTCCAAGGGCATTCTACCGTTAAAAAAAAAGATCTCAATTTGCCCAACAAGAAAGGACTAGACTAACCTTAAACGAATGTGGCCACTAACGGGAGATTAAACAAGTTGCGAAAATAAGAGTCTTTGAAAGAGTGGATTTAGACTTATCCTTTGTGAGAAAGTAAGTAAGCAAACAAGCGTTGAGTAAAGGTGACATAATGGTTTATAAATGGAATTCTGCTAGAAAAGAATATGTCATTATCAATCTCTTAAGCAGTGGTGTACGTTTAACGCTAAATCTTGTCGATTTTGGAAAACTTCATAATAAA